ACTAATATATCATGAGATAATTAACAATATGCTAAGAAATCATTAATTAAATATGCAACTCTATATTTAATTAAATATGCAAAATAAAGCAATAAAATAATAATAATAAATAAAGAACCTGGACCAAGGACAGATTCGCCCCACTATGGTGCTAACGGACTTAGTGGGGTCTATCTCTCAGGATACAACGGTCTACATCCACCAGTAGCAGCACTACAAACTCGTGGAAACGGTGAACCTTCTCCGTGTAATACTCTCTCTAACTCAAAAATGCATCTATACTATATAAATGCTGAATTTGGTGCAATCCAAACCATTTGGTTCGGACCAATCTTAATTTGGCTCGATGAAATTGGATTAGGGTCTAAGTAGCTCAAACCACTTAACCTATGATTTGAACCCACTTGAGTTGGGTTCAAGTCTAGAGAGGGAGATAGAAGAAAATGAAAATGAACCACTTGCAAATGATCCAAATGGGGGTATTTATAGAAACAGAAATGCCTTTTCGAATTGGGTCTATCTCTTCATTATTGGACACAACCATTGCAATAGGTTGCAATGGTTCGTATGGTGTCTATTCACCACTAGACACATCTATTCCAATAGGTTGCAATGGTTCACATGGTGTCTGTTTACCAATAGACACATCCATTCCAATAGGTTGCAATGTGCCTTTTCGAGTGGGTGCAACCATGGGTTATGATGGTTCGGAAAAAAGGTGTAACCCTTTGAAAAAACTAAAAAGTGGTTTTTTAATTTAAAAGGTGTAACCCTTTAGAAAAACTAAAATATGATTTTTTTAATTTAAAAGGTGTAACCTTTTAGAAAAACTAAAAAGTAGTTTTTTAATTCAAAAAACCAACCACCCAAAAAACCCACCCATTTGTGAAACCCATTTAAATAAGCCCAGCCCAAAATTAGGCCCAATCCAAAATTCCAAAAAAGGAATAATCTGGACTTTACAATTAGGCCCAAGCCTAAGCCCAAATCCTAAACTCAGCTTATTTAAATTTCAATTTGTTTCAACATTTTTTCCATGTGGGACAAACACTTCCCACATTTTGCATACCCATTTAGGCTTATCAAAACACCATACTTTGGAGCTAATTTCTCATTCACCTGGAAACGAATTTGATAAAGTAAATATACCACGTTTATCTCATTGTAGAAAGAAATGCGCTCGTCTATAGATCCGTAAAAAATTATTAGTAGAATCTATCCCAAATCTCATCCAAAGTTTATGTTTTTAATGCCTCGTTTTCAACAGAGGGTTGTATAAAAGGTGATGATTACAATTTTTATTATTATTGTGTATATGGTTGGGATTGTTATAGAAATGATGGTTATTATTTAAATTTATGTAGAAATAAATATAATGTGATTATAGCAAAGAGAAGGAGACGGAAGTTTTGACACTTCCAAGGGATAAGTAAATAATTCGGGAAGTAGCCAAGGTGAGTGTACTCACTGGAAGTTTTACACTTGAATGTGTTGATTGAAGTATTGAAGATGTTTATGTGAAATGAAGATACTTATATAATTTGATTATATTGTATAAGTCCATACTCTGGTCTGGAAGGAAAGTAATATATTATATAAGGTTCATACTCTAGTCTGAAAAGAGAGTACTATATTATATAAGGTTCATACTCTGGCCAAGAAAGATAGTACTATATTATATAAGGTTTATACTCTCCTAGAAGGAGAGTACTATAATATATAAGGTCCGTACTATGGCCTAGAAAGAGACTTAGGTGCTGTTTGATAAAATTAAAAATTATGCACCGAAAATCTTAAGTACTAAATTTTAAGCACTGAAATTTTAAGCACTGAAATTTTAAGTACTGAATGTATTAATTTTAAAACCCATTTGATAATATTTTCCTTTTAAGTACTGAATTTATTAAGATTGTTTGTTATATAAAAAAAAACTGAAGTCTGAAAGTTGTACAGATTACATTTTTGCCCTCAATATATGGTACTTATAACAATTTTATATTTATAATATAAAAATATTAATAAAATAACCACATTAATTCACTCAATGAAACATATCAATTTAACAATGACTAATAATGTCAAATAATCATAAAAAAAATAAAAATAAAAAATTATTATCTAGAAATAGAATTATATTATATAAATAATTGATGAAAATTTAAAATATATGGATTTTGGATTACATAACATTTATGTAGGATATCGAGAAAGGTGCTATAAAGATTAAAGAAAGTAAAACTTAGAATATATGGGTTTGGATTACATGATATTTTTAAAATTGTTATGTAGTTATGTAGGGTATCGAAAAAGGTGTTATAAAGATTAAAGAAAGTAAAATTTAAAATATATTGATTTTTTATTACATAATATTTATGTATGGTATTGAAAAGAGTGTTAAGAAGAAAGTACGTGAAAAAGAATTCTTATCCAAGAATAGAATTATATTATATAAATAAGTGATAGAAAATTTAAAATATATGAGTTTTGGATTATATAATATTTATGTACGGTATCGAAAGGGATGTTAAAAATATTAAAAAAAGTAGATGAAAAAAATTCTTATTTAGAAATAGAATTCTATTATGTAAATACTGGTGTTAAATCAATTTGAATAGGTAACTAAATACTGGTGTTAAATCAATTTGAATATGTAACCAAAGAGACGTGTTTATAATATAATACGTATAATTATTATTATTATTTTAGGAATTTGGTAAAATTATATATTTTTTAAAGAATTTGTTCTAAAAATAAAAAATAAAAAATAAAAAAAATAAAAACAGAACTCACTCTATTTCCAGATGCAGAGAGAAATCGAAAAGAGAATTTTAAAGAAATTGAAAAGAGAAGTCTAGAAGAGAACGTGATTATTTGAGGGTAGAATAGTCAGTAAAAAAATAGTTTTAAAACTTAATCACTTACCGTCTTCTGCGATAAGTAACCCTCTCCTTGCTTAAAATTTTAGCCTCTTTTAAGCAGTAATGACCATATTAAGCGGTATCCTAAAATTTTATCAAACACACTTATTTTTAAAAATCACTTACCATCTTCGGCATTCAGCGCTGAAGTAGGAAATCAAACAGGCCCTTAAGACACTGGCATATTGATGAAGCTTCCAGCGACAAAACCAGATTCCGGTAAAGCTTCGATGAAGGTTCTAACCTTCCATTCTGGATTCTGATGATCAGAATTGAAAGTCCGACCAACTTTTGGGTAACAAATTATGAAATTCTAAACATTCCACGGAACACCTAGGTATTGATATATGTGTTTAAATATAATTTCTTAAATTATATTTTATTTTGAACAAATGATTGGACGGAGATAAATACATAGGTTTATAGAGGGTGTCACTCTATGGACATATAGATTATTGAATCTGGCTTAGTTGAATCCCGGAGATAATGCTGTCAATTGATATTCCGATTGCACCTAAGAGAGACTTCAACTATCTTCAAGAAGCGAGTACACGCCTCTAAGCCTTGATTTGAAATTATATTTATATTTCAGAATATTATTATTTATCATATATTTAAGTTTATGTGATTATCTCTTCTTACATGGGATAAATTGTCATAATTGCAATCCGGTTCCAACATGTCAATCCTTGATTTATCAACTTGTATAGCCTTAATTTTGTGTTCCAGATGAAGAACATGGCATTGCAAGAATAGGGAGCCTATTGGAATTGCAATCTGTGTGCTATTGACGCAACACCGACCCAACAACTATGTCGAGTTGGAATCGACGTGAAACTGTCTTGCTTTGGTTATTTTTTTATATTTTAGTATATAAATTGAACGGTCTCAATTTGACTTTTGCATGAAATGGATATTGAGGACTTCGTTTGGGATGGGTAATGTTATTTAGTATTTACAGTGTTTTTGTCCTTGTACTTTTTGTCTTTATATACCCTGAATTTAATTAAATTGTTTAAAATGAAAATCATTTTTTGCTTTGGGATTTCCACTTTGAAAAATCTGAAAGGAAAGAGTATGCCAGAAAATCATATGTTATAAGCATGGTAAAATGAAATAGGCTATAACTAGCACAAAATATAAGAGGAAAATAACATGGACAAACAAAAATCTTCCTCATTCTCACTAAAGGAGTTACAAAATTAATCATCGTGAAGGGATAGGTGGGAAGAAGAATAAGAGTAATAATACCAGAGAGTAATGGCAAGAACAGTGTAGATAAGAGGTTCAAAACTCTTTCACCTTCAGTCTCTGCCTAGAAATGAAACAGTTGGTAGGTATATATTTGTCTGCAACAATGATACAATGCAAGAGAATCTCCAGAGGGAGCTTTTTGGTCGAGCCTCGCCCTAAGTTTAAATCATTCACGGCACACTCTTCCACCGCCACCGCCACTCTTCAGCGACTATATAGGAGGTCTACAATGGCTTCCTTTTACGCTCTTTGTGTGTGGCACTAATAAAGGAAGTTTTTTTGTATTTTACCCTGTTATTAATGAGAAAGTACCATTTTTACAAAGGAAAAATGAAAAATGTTTTCTAACGAGGAGAACAATAAATAGCATGGAACGGCATTGCTCCTTTCTCCGGTGTTTATATATATATATATATATATAATAGCACTACCCATTTACCAAGTCTGACTCAAATTTTGTATTTTCCTATATTAAGTGTAACATGCTGATTTGAAGACGCCCTCCTTGGCTGCCATGTACCCTGATTACAACTTGAAAGGCCTATGAAGCTAATAATTGAATAAATAAATAAAAGTAAATGAAAGATGTAAGCACATGCGCAATGTTGTTATAGACTTGTTATAGTTCCATTGAGAGGGGGAGAGGATGAAGGAGCTTAAAGAAATGCGTTATTTATTAGAAAGAACTTAAAGCAACAAAACAAAGCAAACGTCTGCTCCTGTGTACCCTGATCAGTACCAATCAGAACTACCTGCCGTTGACAACTTGCTCACTACTTTATAATGCTTATTTAAGAATTGCAACAAGAAAAAAATAAACCATCCTGCTTTCCTAACAATGACTTGCTCATATTTAAGTTGACCAATTCTCTAGTTTGAAATGACGAGGCAGTAAAAAGCACATTGCATCAAAATTTGGGATACAAATAAGAAAACAATAAAGGATGGGAATAGCCTTTTTTACATTTGATCTCGGCTAAAGGCAGAGTAAGAATTGAATTTGGTTTACTGTTCAAGACGCTTCTGCAAATCAGTTACCTAAGAGAAATCACAATTAGGAGCAGAACAGAAGCAATCAACAATTTTTGAACAATCAGAGTTCACTTTACAAAGCAATCTTACAATCTGAGGTTGCATTGTAGTGGGATCATGAGACCAGGCACATGTAACCTATGCCAAAGCTTGAGCCATGATTGAACGATGAGATAGCTGCTCTTCATAAAGTCCACGGAAAATACAGTATTTGGCATCATGGTACTTCTTCACTTTCGGATCTTTAGATGGATAGACTATCTTCTCAGGTTCAGGCATGGAAATTAAAAATAAAAAAATAAAAAATGGATATAAGTGACACCAGAAATAAAAAGATACTGACTGAAAAACTAAAAGCCCAGAGCTGGTGGTCTCAAGATCGATTCCTGCTAGGTGCAAACAATTCTTTGGAGGGGGTGTGTGTAAGTACCAACTAGGAAAAAAAAAAAAAAAAACCTTTAGAAGTTGGTTGGGCCAAGCCTCTAGCTTTATATCCGCGATGTATGTTTCTTCGGTTTGCTTAATTGGCAATTTGGCGGTCTGATGTAAATCAGGTCATCTTTAAAGGTTAATCTGTTGAATTTCTCCCAAGAGTATAGTATTTTAAACGAGTGATGCAACGTTTTCAAACTTTCATTTTTTGATATCCCCATAAAACTCTTATATTTAGAATAACATTCCACACCATTGCATGTAAGTTTGACCAACCAAAATTACACATCCCGTAAATATCCTTTGTTTTATAAGTAGCAAACATGATATGCACAGAAACCTAGAACGAAAAGTGGAGAAGAGAAGAAGCAAAGAGAATGGAAATACCACCCACTTCAATAAATAAAAAGTAGGTGTTTTTACCCTAGACTTCAAGTCTCCAACTAAAGCTTGAATACCTCCTACTTGCCTTTTCTGAAAAGAATAAACCAATGCATACAATGAGCCAGAATTGTTTGCATACCTGACCGGCTGCATTCAGTGCCTTCATGGCCTCACTGAGACTAGAATATTTCTTTGCAGCAACAGCACCAAGAATTGCAGCACCCAAGAGCACAGACTCACTTTCTCGTGGAAGAATTATAGGGTAACCTGCATGAAAATGATGAGTAAGCCTTAATTTTATTTACGTGCACGGTCATGCCGAGTAGCATATTGGTTCATATAGCTGAACCCAACTTGCCGGGATTAAGGCTTTATGGTGTTGTTTAATAAAATGCTTAAATGATGGGCATCTTAAATTTAGTGATGTTCCACATGAATATTTTCCACCACAATCTAATTTAGTGGAATCATATCCATGAATGAGTTCAAAACATTTCTTTCGTCTGCATGGCAATTGTATTCTCATGTTTTATGAGGAATTTGACAGCATGCAACTTTCCAACCCCACTTCTTTTGAGGGTTTTGAGGGTGGATGGTGGGTGGGGGAAGGTGTAGTAGTAGGCTTACAACTAATTACTGCCAAATTGTGATTTAGAAGCAAAAAAGATCCAACCTGTCGTAATGAGTAAACTAGAGGTCCTGTATAGCGAAATTAAACTAAGATGCCTTCTACAAGGCATCAAATTCTGATCAGATCCCATGGGAAGCATGTAAGCTCCAAAATCAATGCACCATCCATTATAGACCAATTAGATTCTGGTGCCTCACTGCCAGGACCAATGGCACTGCATCTGAACCTTGCCCACTTGAGATAATTGGAGCATGATCCAACCAATTGAAATAACTAAAGTAATAGGTCATGCTAAAAAAATTCTGCTACCAGCGTAAACAAGTTTAAACTTAGATCGGCAAGACCTTAAATGGAAGCATTACATAAATATTTTATATACGCATGTCTCTTTGTATGCATATGTATATGTGTGACCAAGTGTGGATACACGGGGAGAGAGAGAGAGAGAGAGAGAGAGAGAGAGAGAGAGAGAAACCAATGATATCTGCATGCTCTTGAATGAACAGGGGGTTTTTTACAAGTCCACCACATGCAAGTAGCGTGTCAATCTGCAAATGAAGAAACACAGAGAAAAAAGGATGAGAAGTGTTGGAGGACTAATACTAAAGAGTGCAGTCAATGACTCAAGATATGTACAAATATCCAATGAAAATTTAATTGCCTCATTCATATAATTTGCACATAAATCTCCAATTGTAAATGAGAACTTTGTCTATATACGGTAGCCATCAACACAAATTGTTAAGAAGGAAAATTAAAATATTGGAATTTGATAAAATACTTCAACTTTTCACCATCACTAGTGGCGATGGCTACAGTTCTCAGTGCACCCATTCTGATAATGGATATACAACTTCAAATGGTATGTCGAACACAATGAAGCTATTCAATTTTCTTGGGATGTTCAATGATGTCTTAACGACCGAGCAACTTTTAACTATATACATTGCAACATATAACAAAGGATTAACAGTATATATAACACTGATACATAAAAAAGGACATGCCATTGCATTAAGACAAGCATGTGCAAGTGCGCACATAAGAGAGTGAGAGTGGACAACTCTGGATTTAGTCACCAACTTTTTGGAGTCCAAACTGAATTGCTTAAGCTTTTCTTCACATGCATATAATAGGAAAGTAACCATCCAGTCACGCCCCATTTTGCAGATAGATCCATCTGTTTGTTAAGATGTACAATATCTAGATCGAGGATGCTCCATTAGATAAAGTACAGTATTTTCCTACAACAGTCAAATCTAAAAGCGCTTTTTTTTTTTTTTTTGGCCAATAATCTAAAAGCATTTCATGGTTCAAGCAGCTACACTATTCTATAGAGAAATGGCAGCTCTTTATTATTCTCAATATCAACTACCACAGAGATTATTTGATAAGAATAAATTTTATAAATAAAAAATATATAGTGAGAACTTTTCAACCTTTTTTTTAATAAAAAATAATTATTGTTTAACTAGGATTATGGTAGTTTAATCTTTAGTTGAGTAAAATTAAACATTTACCTTCATTACATAAGATTATTGTTTGTTTTGTTATTTCAGCATTGCATTCTGCCATGTGGCTGTTTTCTAGTGGTCTTGTTTAGTTAAATCTCATAAATGTTCCATTTAACAACAGAATAAAAACCTTGTTGGAATACGGAAAATACTGAAATTAAAATAAGAACGTCATATTACAAGGAGCCATTGCTTGGTGCAATGGTGAATTGTGGCTGCAACTTGACAATGCTATGGAGATTTGTATGGAACATGAGTTATGAAAACATGCCCTTAAAATTACTATGTACTATTTCATTGTTTATTAAAGCCCTTTTATTAAGGATTGTTAAACTACCAAAATTATACAAAGCAGTAATGGTTTTGGATATGAAACTAAACTAAGCGAATCGAAAATTGATGCATGAAGAATGAGGACTTTCCACTCTTACTTTGTGCCCATGCGCATTGCAGTGCTCTACAATGTGACGTGTACCATATGCGATACCCTGTACCGTTGCAAAGTATAAAAGGGCCAACTGTTTTTCACTAGTGTCAAGAGTTAAACCACAGACCATCCCTTTTGCTTTTGGGTCTGAAATGGGAGACCTGAATTAAAAAGTAAGCATTTATCATAGAAGCAATATCCAGTATGATGGGCATAATCATGCTTCATCTGTAACATTTACCTATTTCCATGGAAGTCAGGAAGAACATGTATATCAGCAGTCAAAGCCGCAATAAAAGGAGTCCCCAGCTCATGCATCATTGAATTTAATATATTGTTCAACAGTTCAAACAGTGAAATACCTGGGAGATTTATTGATGAATTAGGTTTCAAGCTAATTCAATTGTACAAAGTGACACTGATTTGAGTAAAGAGCATTGACAATATGTTTCCTGATGACATATCCTTAACATAAGAAGAAACAATATCTTACTTCGAGAAGCAGCACGATTTGCAAGGTGCGGAGAAGCAACATGGTTTTCAATTATATAATCCAACAATGCACCAGTAGCACTCTGGCCACCTTCTGTAAGCCAGTATTCAGGCACCATCGCTAGACATATTTGGAAAAAGGAAAAGAAAATATGAAAACAAGATACAGATAATTCAGTAGTTGCCTCCGAAGGCAAGACAGATCAACATATAAAATCTTCTGACACGCTATGAATATGGAAGGGATCATGTCGCAGACATCATTGTACAAAAAAACATTTAATTGAAGAATTTATTATATTTGCTGTGCTCAAGAATCATTTCAATGTGCTAAATAGCAATATGAAAAAGAAAACATATAAGATTGGAACTTAGATTTTAATTTTGTAAAATTAGATAGGCAGGGTTTTGAAATTTAATTTGGCAAAAATATCACAAAAAAGAAACGAATAAAAACAAGTTCCAAAAAATTTTGGCAAGCTGTGTAAGACATAAGCAACAAGAATTTTCCCAAGCTGTGCAAATGACATTTGCTTATGTTTGTTAGTAATCTAACAGAGGTGGTGGTTCAATAAGGTAGCTCCGGATAGGGAGCTACAATCAATGGTGTTTCTCTTTTGTCTTATGACACTAATATTACTATATTAAGGATGTATGTACAATTCATTGGAATGAAAGGCCTCTAAGAGCAGCCTATATCTACTTGGGTTGTCCTCTGATGCAGGCAGAATTTCAAATTTCTGCAAGGGAATTTCTTTATTTTTAGTAGTCCCTTTTTTTTTTTTTTTTTTCATCAGCTTTCCTTTTTGAGTAGTTTTCTGATTTTCAGCAGTTTTCCTGTTTTTGTTTTATTTTATATTTGGTAGTTAGCTAATATAAGGCTAGGATTGGGGAGGAAGAAATTCTATATAAAGCCTTGTAATTTCTAGTGTTCAATTAGTTTTTGTTTTTAATTTCTAGTATTTGGAAAGTTTTTGAAAAACACAAATTCCCTTGCAGAAATTTGAAATTCTGCCTGCATCATCCTCCCTCTGGCACTTGTTATTGCTTTTTGTCATTTACCCACACACACACAAAAGAAAAAAAGAGTTAAAAATGATTAAATAATAAGAGAGGAACAGTGAAACCAATAGATAAGATGGAAGTGGTTCTGAAATATGTATAAATTGTATGAAATTGCGCTATTATTGGTCAAAAAGATGGTCAATCTGTTCAAAATTCATTAAATACACTTTGCCTTATGTAAAAATTCATTAAATACACTTTCCAAAATCCACAATATGACCAAAATCCCATAAACCAAACAACCCTTGAGAAGTGCCCAATGTGTACCTGACCAATATGGTCCCCAGACCCCTGGTATGAATAACTTGCTTCGAGACACAGCCATATGACAAGTAGAAGTTCCACAAACCAAAACCATACGATGGCATATAGCTTCCTCACCAAAATCTGAACATAGAACATTTGGTCAGCAAGAAAATGTATTGCCTAGTACAAGGCCGCTAAATCATGATAAAAAGTACAACAACAACAACCTTTAGATTCAGAATCTGGCGATAGAATACTCTCCATTACCCCTACACCACCGGCATGAGCATCAATTAGCGAAGTTCCAACAGGAGTTCCAGCTACCAGCCCCAGTTCCTGAAAATTAAGTAGCTTCTTAGCACATTGAATGAATATTGACAATGCATGTGCCACCTAATAAATGCAAATCACCCTCCGAAGAAGATAGAATGTATTGCTCATGTTTTAATGGCAAACAGATGTGTTTGATTCATCAATGGACCTCAAGGAATTCTTCAGTACAAAAGTTCTTGCCTTTGCGGCATCAGGTGTTAGACCAGAGCCCAAAGCATGTCCAGGGAAAGCTACACTCCGTCCTGTTCACACAGTTAGTCATATCATTAACTGCAGACGAGGAAAATTGAAAGTGAAGTTATAAAAAAGTCTCACAGAGTTGACATGAAAATGATTCTTCTTTCCATTGAATGGCCACAAGAACCCAGTGAGACAAACAGGCTACTTTTTATTCAACATTTGCTTAATTTTGCAGAATAATTAAAAATGAAGCAACAAAAGCTACTCAAAAAACTATCAGAATTTAAGGAAAATTTATCCAGGGATACACAGGTGATCTAGATCATCTTCCATTCTTCTGTTTTATATTCCGTTTCTAATCAAGCTACCTACTTGCTTTGTGTTGCTTTGATGTTTAACAAAGTATACAGAAGAAATGTTCTTGTATCTTTTTTCGTTTTATTTTTGTCTTATTTTTTAAGCAAGATCAAAGAACTCCAATTGCTCATTGTTCTTTTAAATTCATTCCCTTCTATAGTGAACTAAAAATTGCACAATTTCACATAATTGTCTAGAAAATGCCTTTTTAGAATTTATGATCCAGTTATATGCTGTAAGATGATTGCTGTCGTATTTCTTCTCGAGAAATATTTGAGCATCAAGCATTGCTGGCATCACTTACTGAGCTTTATTTCATGTGAGAACATAGAGGAAACAAAAAGAAATTTTAGTTAAGAGCAGACTGAAAAACTGTTGCTTACTAAACATACAATTGTCAACTAAACTTAATTTGTAAAGTGTTTTAATCTGTCCAAGGAAGGACGCAAATCCACTTCAATCAGCAGATTAATTGAGTAGGAGCAAATCCTCCATTATTCAGCATATTCATATCAATGAGAGAATGGTTTCCTCTCAGCTTGAGCACAGATCCCATTTTCAGAGAAAAGCAGAATGAGAGAGAGAGAGAGAGAGAGAGAAGAGGCTGTGAAAGTACATGCCAATATGACTTTGAAGATGTCAATGTGAGATGACATGCCAATTTGTCGGAATAGAGTCAATACAGGACTGCCATTCAGCAATGATCTTATCAGTGTCTCAACATTAGCTTTTGCACAAAATATCAACAATCAAGAAACCAAGACATACAAATTTTCTCTGTTCTAGATTGTTAGAAGTCCCATCACAAGAAAATAATTGTGTTTACAAAAAAAATCCTCGAGCATACCAATCTTAGCATGATGCCCATCCACAAGATCACCTAAGCCAATTTCCTCCCAGAAGTCATCATCCCATCCACAAGCCTCCATATCTCGGGAGTCTTCCTCATTGATTCGCTGCATGTGTGCATGACCAAGATAGGTCCACTTGCACACCGTGGTGCACAAACTCCGAGTATCATCTCCTGTTGCTCTAAGAATAATTAGAATTCAAGATAAAATCATCAGAACCCAAAAGTGGCTTGTGAATAGGAGAACTTAGTGACATCAAGACAGTTCAAATAACAAAAAGCTAGAAGTTCATCATACCTATATGACAACCAATCGCTCAAGTCCATCCACCTAAATGCCATTGACCAAGATTCTTGCAGATTTTCTTTCACCCATAAAAGCTGCAAAAACATTGTGCATCAAACATGATCCACAAAAGCAATTCAAAAACTGTAAATAGAATTCCAAAAAAAAAAAAAAAGACACTTCTCTCTCTTCTATTTTACTTGAAAACAGAAAGTAAAAAGTAAGAAACAGTGTCTGGACAAAGCCATTGTAGCATAATGGTAAGAGTGCACGACAACCAAAAGAGGGGGTTGGGTTAGGACTTCAAATTTTATTGTCTGTGACCAACCAAAAAAAAAAATGGCAAGTAAAAAAATATCTAGTAACTATCATTCAATATGATTTTTTATTCATCATTAAAGTGCTTTCTTGGTAGGCTCTTAAAACTAATGTTTAAAAACAATGTGAGTAGTCTGTGTGCATTTACATTTTAATGGCATTTGAATCCCTTTTTTAAGAAGAATAATTTGGCTATTCCAACTTCTCTAAGAAAGCTCATTATCATTACGCATGAACTTGCCTATCCCCAATGCAGCCAGCAAGTTTTTCACTACACAACCAACTTTCTCCAATCTTCCATATACAAGCAAAACTGAAACAGATCGCCTCACATCCCCTCTATGCACATTAACCAGACTCCAAGAAAGAAGAAAAAAAAGGCATCATCAGCACTTCTGCTAGGACACCACCAGTCATTGTCGTATAAATAAGACCTACATCATTTACTAAAAAGTATCACCCTTTAAGCTGGTTTTGAGGCATGCATTAACTACAAAGCATTGGATCCAAAATTAGTCTACCATTGACAAAAAACATTTTAATTTTATCATTTCACTAATGTTGCAATATGTACTGGGTCAAACTCTGCCCGTGTTCTTTACACAGCTAGTCCGGATAAAGGAGGAGGGTTACGTCAAGTAGCTTGACAACTGGCGTAAAATTTTGTCATGACCAATATGAACATGAATCCTACGAATACGCGATTAAATTCTAGGGTGCTCCCCTTAAGTGACGCATTGCATCAGCTTCTGGATGCTTTAAAAAATGGGCAAGGGGCGCTGCATCGACGCCCGGGTGCGGTAAAAACAATGTTATTAAAAGGCTCAAGGCGCACCAAGGCGCTAGAGGTCCTTTGGAGCCTAGGCGCGCGCCTGAGTGAAGTGAGGCGCACAATTGATATTTTAAACTACCATAAAAGCATTCATATCTCATTAGTAGTATCAAAATTCTAAAAATTAATATCAAATATATAATTTAAATCCATCAACCACTTACAATCAAGAACCATAAAACAAAGCACAAATTTGTTTTCTTGAAAGGAAAAACACAGAGCAAAAAGAAATAAATCTATTAACAAAAAAAAAAAAAAACTATTAACAAGAAAAGGAAAATAAACAGAGCCAAAAAGAAAAAAGACGCAGAGACAAAAGAAGTAGAAGAAGAGAGAGAGTGTTAAAAGAAGAAAAGAAAAAAAAAAAAAGACAAAGAGAGAAAAGAACTAGACAAACAGAGGAGTGGAGGAGAAGAGAGGAGAAGAAGAAGAAAGAACTGAGGCTTCGTCGTTGGTCTCATAATCTCGCCCTTTCTATGTTCGGTTGACACTTTGACTCTTAGGCTTTCTTATTTGTTTATTCTTTTGAACAAAAGTTCCGTCTCTCACAGGGGTGGAGCCAGGATTTTATTTCAGAGGGGGCACAATGCACTTGTTAAAAAAAAAATTTAATAAATATGACAATATAATTTTTTTAAATCAAAAAAGCAAATAAGAAAAATATAGTTGTAAAATAATATACTAAATAAATACCGAAAAAAAAATATAGTTACAAATATAAGAATCAAAATATTAATTAATAATATTTTAATTAAATACAATCACAAATGTCATCGATAAAAAGAAATAAGTTTAAAAAAATAGAAAAATACATAATTATAATTTTTTGAAAAAGGAAACAAAAATTAGAAAAGGAAAAATATATTGTATATTCAAAGAAGGACTATATGTAATTTTTTTTTTTTCAAAAGGAAATTAAAAGAATTTAAAATTTTGAGGGGGGGGTGCACTATTTAAAATTACCATGTAAGTATATATATATCTATACCAAAAATATGTATCTATGTATAGTAGGTTGGAGCAAAGTGAGGGGGGGCACATGCCCCCTCTGGGCCTTAATTGGCTCCGCCCCTGGTCTCTCATACACTTAGGCTTTCTTATTTGGTTATTAAGTTGCCGAAAGTACCATTTTTGGCTTAAGAAATAGAATAATCATTTTTTAAAAAAAAGGGTGAATTGCAAGAAACCTCTCTTGACTTGTAACCATTGGCAGAAAACCCCCTTTTTCAATTTTTTTAGCGAAAAACCCCCTCCAACTTACAAAAGCAAAATTTTAGACAAAAAATACCCCTTAGCACCCAACTATTAAATACCCACCTATTGCATAATAATTGAGGCTTGCTTATGAGATTTCCTGCACCTTTAGACTGTTACATACACTATATATATATATATATAGAATAAATACTTATTAAAGCAATGACTGAAATCAAAAGGCCAAAAAGTACCCTTCTTTAATTAGCATGTTTTCTTTCCTCAAATTGCAGTTTGCTCGGCAATAGCATCATATATTGCTTATGTATCTCCATAAACAAAACCAAAAGTATCAATTGAATAAGAAATCACAAACATATCCACACTAAGTATATTCAAACTGTTATGCAAGTTCATTTCCAAAAAATAATAATGATGTGTATGTTACTTATCAGGTAGAGAAAGGAAAAAAAAAAAAAAAAAGACCAAGTACGTGACCTCATCACAATAATTATAAAACGAAAGCAACCATAACACCACAAACACAATGCCCACATGATGTATAATCGAAGCCTTAAATATACCCATTTCTTCTTCTTCTTCTTTCCTGTTTCTTTCACTCCGAATAGTTCAGATTCTATTTACAATTGCTAATCAAATATACCCAAGACCAATCAATTAAACCTCACATTTGTGATCTATCCACATTAATTTGATGTATACAAAATAAAAAATTGTACTCATAACTAATCAAAAACAAACCCTAGAATCAATGCATTTTATCATTACATTTTATATATATATATATATATATATATATATATATATACTCCCTCTGTCCCAAAATACATGTTCTGTATGGGGAATCAATGCATTTTGCTCGCATTCCTCTTCTGTTCTTGATGATTGGGAGGGAGCTGCAGGTTCGTCCTTTGATGGGGATTCGGGCATGATTCCATGGGAAGACTTGGAACAGGCAGTGAATTTGGCTGTCCCTTTGGCTGTTGTTCCGCTAGGGGGGAATTGAGTTAGTGACCCGACTGATGTTGTTGGAGTGAATGACCTTGAGGAGGAGTGGGTGAGGGAGAAGGGTTTGGATGTGGGGGATGTGGGCTCTTTGTTGGGTGTTTCTTTCGAGGGTAGGGTGGATGAGGCGATGTGTTTGTTTAATGATGTTCTTAATTCTCATTTAAAGGAAAAGGTGGGTGGTAAGGAAAGGTTGCGGGAGGGGAGAGGGGAGATGGTGTTGCAAAGTCCCAATGATTTTATCACATATGAAAGGAGAAATAGGGGTCCAGGTCAGGAGAGAGAGGTAGTGGAAGGAGGGTAGGGTTTGCTTCTTCAGGTGTTTCCCTATGAAGCTACAAATTCTTTCATGGAATGTCCGGGGTCTTAATGACCCGGTCAAAATAAAAGTGGTGAAGTCGGTCATTCGTAGGGGGGGGGGGGTCATGTGGTGTGTCTACAAGAGACTAAGCTTGCTTCGACGTCTGATAGGATTGTGAGAAGTCTTTGGGGTGGGAGATTTGTGGAATGGATTGCTTTGGATGTTATTGGCTCCTTAGGGGGCATCTTGATCATGTGGGATAACAAATAGGTGTCTAAAGTGGATGCTAAGGTTGGGCGCTTCTCTATTTCATGCGTTCTTGCTTTAGTAAAGGATGGTGTTCATTGGGTCTTTTCTGGTGTTTATGGTCCTACAGAGGACGGTGAGCGCCACTTGTTGTGGGAGGTGTTAGGGGAGATTAGAAGTAGATGGTTTTTGCCTTGGTGTGTTGGATGGGATTTCAATGTTGTTCACTCTCCGTTCGAGAGGTCAACGGGAGGTAGGTGGACGTCTGACATGGAGGCCTTCTCGGAGTTTATTGATGAGTTTAGGCTGGTCGATTTGCCTTTGGTTGGAGGGCCATTTACTTGGTCTAGTGGCCGCTCTCCCGTTCTTTCTCGGCTTGACAGTTTCCTTGTATCGGGGGAGTAGGAGGAGAGGTTCTCTGATGTTGTTCAGGCTACTTTGGCTCGTCCTATCTCTGACCATGTTCCGTTGATGTTGGATTATGGCGGGTTGCGTTGTAGACGTTCTCCGTTCAGATTCGAAAATATGTGGCTACGGGCTGAGGGTTTTCTGGAGAGGGTACGACTTTGGTGGGAGGGGTATGGGGTGGTTGGCACCCCTAGTCATGTGCTTACAGGCAGTTTGCGTCTCTTAAAGGAAAATCTTAAGACTTGGAATAAAGAGGTCTTCAGGAATCTGGAATGGAGAAAGAATCGGGTTCTTGCTAAGATTGCTGCTTTTGACCGAATGGAGGGTTAAGGGGATCTGGGGGACTCTTTGAAGGTTAGAAGGGCGGAGTGTCAGGCAAAGTTTGCTGAAATTGCAATCATGGAGGAGATCTCGTGGAGGCAAAAAACTAGAGCCTTGTGGCTTAAGGAGGGGGATAGAACACAAAAATTTTCCACAGATTGGCCAATGCCCATAGAAGGGGCAATTATCTAGGGAGGATTCGGGTGGAGGGGGATAGTTTTTTGTAGGATGAGGAGATCTGCAAGGGCTTCTCAAAGTTTTTTGAGAAGTTGTTCACAGAGACTGTTGTGTGGAGACCTTTGCTTGAAGGGCTTCTGTTTGATTCTATTTCTAGTGAGGAGTGCTCGGGTTTGGAGATGCCTTTTTTTGAGGAGGAAGTTCTAATTGCTCTGAAGAGTTATAATGGGGCTAAAGCCCCAGGTCCAAATGGATTTACCATGAGATTTCTT